TGAGACAGGGTCTCATTATGTAGTTGAGACTGACCTGGAACTCACTATGTAGCCCAGGCTGGTCTTGAACTCACAGCAATCCTCTTGCCTCAGCCTCCCAAGTGCTGGAATTACAGGTGTGCACCACCACACCTGGCAAAAGTTTGAGTCTTAACAGCCAGGTATGGTGGCACACACCTGTAATCCCAGGCCTCAGGGACTGAGGCAGGAAGATTTCTGTGCATTCAAGGGAAGCTTTCACTAAATGAGACCTTGTCTCAAAAAAATCAAAGATAAATAAATAAATTAAAAATTGAGTCTTACCGTGGCAATTTATTTTATTTTATTTTATTGGTATCAGGTATCAAACTCAGGACCTTGCACTTGCGAGGCAGGTGGCGAATCCACTGTACTAGATCCCCAGCTCACCATGGCAATTTAGACCCTGCTTTAAAATAAAAAATAAGAAAAAGACTGGGTATGTAGCTCATTGTGAAGGTCCTGGGTTTAATTCCCAATACCACAAAACAAAACAACCAAATCAAAACAAAATCTAAACATATATACCATATATTAAGTAAAATACGTTAAAATACTATGTAAAATATGATTTATACCTTTTTTTTTGATACTGGAGATCGAACTCGGGACCTTGCACTTATGAGGCAGGTGGCTGAACCACTGAACTAAATCCCCGGCCCTGATTTATACTTTTGAGAATATACACCTGACTCTCATATTCACTCTCATCCATATGCTGTACCCCTCGAAGAAGATTGAAGTCCTAAATACCAGAGTGTTTTTCCTAGGTAGAATTACGGGTACATTTCTATTCTTGTAAGCAGAAGTACAAGAGCAAAAGTGGAAGCTGTCTCATGTCAGAGGGAGCGCTCGTACACACGCTTGCCTCCTCTCCCCTCAGGTTTTGGCACCATGCTCTCCTCCGTGGCCTTGCTTTCCATTCTCGTCTTCATTCCGTCGGCGGTGGTGGTGGTTCTGCTGCTGCTGAGAATGGGGCGGAAGGCGGCAGGGCTGAAGAAGAGGAGCAAGTCTGGCTATAAGAAATCGTCGATTGAAGTTTCAGATGAGTATGTCTCCCTGCAGCCCTGAGCGGTCGGCCCATTTCCTTTTTAGCCCTACTTTGGGGGTGGCACCCAGATGTATATCCACGCACCTTTTTTTCCTCAGGCTGAATTTAATTCTGTTGGTAAAATTTCCTTTTGAATAGAGAGTAGTTTTGCTGGGGAATATGAGGGGAAAAGTTCAAAGTTTCCCCTTCCCCTTCTCTTTTTTTTCCTGGCAGTACCAGAAATTATATCTACATGCTAGGCAAGTACTCTACCACTGAGCCACATCTTCAGCTCTTTATTTTTTATTTTGAGACAGGGCCTTGCTAAGTTGCCTAGGCTGAGCTTGAACTTGTGATCCTTCTGCCTCAGACTCCTGAGTAGCTGTGATAAGAGATGTGTGCCACCACACTCAGCTTCCCTTCTCCCTTCTTTTGCCCTTCTTGGTCAGCAGTCCTATGGAGGGGCTAAGTGGATTGTGATTATCAAAACCATTTGTTAGGTGAGTGTGGTGGTGCACACCTGTAATCCCAGCACTTGGGAGGCAGAGGCCACAGGGTCACCGTGAGTTCAAGGCCAACCTGGACTATACAGTGAGTTCAAGGATAGTCTGAACTACATAGCAAGACCTTGTCTCAAAAAAACTAAAAGCAAAACAAAACAAATAAACAAAACGCCCAAAAAACAAACCCAACATTTATTAACCAATCAATTTTTTTCCCTAAAATGAAATCTACCTAAGAAAAGAAAAGAGTACCAAAAATCTGTGTTAAAAATCCTGTAAGTAGCCGGGCATGGTGGTGCATGCTTGAAATCTCAGCACTTGGGAGTCTGAGGAGGCAGGAGGATCTCTGTGAGTTTGAGTTCAGTCTTGGCTACACAATTAGTCTGTGTCTAAAGAAAAAAAAATCCTACAAGTTCTTTATTGTCTGGATCAGGGGTTCTTAACCTGTAGGAAGGGTTCCTTATCTTGAAAGGGTCCAAAATTTTCATTTTGTCTATGTGTGTGTATCTATTTAATGGAGAGAGTGACTTTTAGAATGCATTTGCATCTCTAAAAAGGTGAATAACTATTGGCAAAAATACCAATGTCTATTTGGTATACAAAACCCTTATGTCCTGTCCCTAAATTGCATTGTTTTCTGCCTTTTCTTGTCATTTGCCCCCATTTCCTGCTATAGGAAGCTTATCTTTCCCCACTGTTACACTCATTCAGGTATGTCACATAGGTAGTAGATGGCTAGATAAATATTTTCCCCGGGTGCTTTTGTCGTGCCCTTCTTCCTTCTCTTGTCTGGAGGCTGTCACCCTCTAACCCCAGCTGAATATCCTTTCTCCTGACTCTTCCTGAGCCCTGAAGAGAGGATCAGTCGCCTCTTCTCTTTTGCTGCCAAAGCAGTTTCATCTTGACTCTATTGAAACATTGATCACAGTGTGTTATAACATCCTTGTTAAGTTTATAACAGCTCTCTCACCCCCATGAGATTGTGAGCTCTCCCCAGAACCAGTTTTTCTTTCTTTTTTTATCTCCATCCTAGTGTGATGTCTCAGATGGTGTGGATGCTCAGTACTTTTCTGAGTGAATGAATGGTCATGGCCAGCAGCTGTTTATCGAACACTTACTGTGTGCTGGGCCCTGGGGTGCGTGTTTCACATGTATTTATTTATTCCTGACAACTCCTGACAACTATGTTTAAGGGTACATGATAGTGTCTGCATTTTATAGATGGGAGTTAAATTTGACCAGTAACCCAGGTGGTAGGTGGTAGAACTTGGATCTATAACCAGACTAGTGTGATTTCAAGACCTGAGTTTAGAACTGTTACTCTATACCCATGATGGCAAACCTTTTAGAGCTTTCAGTGATAACAAACAGCTGTAGGTTCACCGCCACTGCTCTGTACCAAGGATAGTGACAACTGATATTTGGCTTGTGCTCTTTCCACAGCACTGACCAGGAGGAAAAAGATGAGTGCATGGCAAGGCTTTGTGTCCGCTGTGCTGAGTGTCTGGTAAGTCCCTGCCAGCTTTCTGTTTACTGTTGCTTTCTTACCTTCCTGCCTATTTAAGGGGATCCTCTGCCCTACAGAACTATGCAGGTAGGCCAAATGAAGGGTTGAACCAGCCTCTTTTCCCAGAGCATTTTGGTTTCTGGGACCCCAGCGATTCCAAGCACAGTTTTGTTCTCTGTCTCCTGAACATGAGGTGGTGGTCTTAGGCTAGGGAAAGAGGTGTGGAGAGCAGTCTATGCTGAATGACAGAAGGTCTCAAAGGAGCAGCATCTTTGCCACAAATTAGGATACTGAATCACTGGACCCAGAACCCTGGATTTAACTTTTCTGCTGAGCCTTGCTATTTTCCAGGGGGTTGCAGTTATAATCTTTTAGGTAACTTGATGTCATTTACCATTAGGAAACACCATGTTGGAAGGCCTGAGTTTTTATTTAAATTTCAAAAGACTGTCCTCCCTCCTCTTTGAGTGCTTGCTATGATTAATAGGCTTTTGTGGCTGTCCTGGGATCTAAGGAGCAAGCAAGACTCTCTGATGTGGTCCAGTTAGAAATAAGTCAAAAGCAAGCTGTGATCTAAAGTGAAACATACCTGTGATTGCAGGGATTAAACTTGAGCCCTCTTTGTACTTACTGCCAAGCTCAGCACTTGGCCAGATGAGTGCAGCCCAACTACACCCTTTTGTTTCTCTTTCTCTCATGCACTTGAGTGTCATAGGTGAGATGGCTGACCTTCTGTCAGTCAGCAGTACCAGGGGAGAGAGAGAGAGTCTAATATCAACTCTTTGGTGTTTGAGTATTCTGGTAACACAAAATTATCAATGTTCATATGGTTATTAACCATGTTTCCTATATCAATTCACTTTGTGATTATTTACTGAGTGTCTGACATGTGCCATGTGCACTGTTTTAGCTACTCGGGAACCAGCTGTGAACAAAACTGACAAACATTCCTACCTTCGTGGAACTTAATGTTCTTCAGCTGAAAAATGCTTTCTCCTTTTCTAAGACCCAGTGGAAATGTCACTTTTTAAAAAACAAGTACAAAGAAGCTGGGAGTGGTGGCGCACGCCTGTAATCCCAGCACTTGGGAGGCTGGGGCAGGAGGATCATTGTGAGTTGGAGACCAGCCTGGGCTACATAGTGAGTTCCAGGTCAGTCTCAACTACATAGTGAGACCCTGTCTCAAAACACAACAACAAACAAACTAAATAAATAAATAAAATAAAAAACGAGTACAAACACTGATTAAATTTTTTAACATAAGTAAGATAGGGCCGGAGATTTAGCTCAGTGGTTCTGCCACCTGCCTCTCATGCACAAGGACCCAAGTTTGATCTCTGGTACCAAAAAATATATATAAATAAATAAAAGAAAAGGATTGGGGATGAGCACCCCTGGATTTGATCCCAAGTACCACTAAAATAAGTACGATACACAGTGTATGTAGTGTTTAATGCTATGAAAAAAAAAATCAGGAAAGAGAGCTGGGATGGCTAGATAGAGGTATGAGGTAAAATAGGATGGTTAGGAACACCCTCAGTAAGGTGGTATTTGAACAAAATCCTACAAGAAGTAGATGGCAAACCGTATAGCTATTGTTGGGAGTGTTTCAGGAGGAGGAAATTGTATAGGCTGTGAGGAGGGTTCATGATTGGCATGGGGACAGTGAAAAAAGATAGCATGGTAGGTACAGTGGCTGTATTGTTTGCATCCAGATGTCCCCCAAAGCTTCATGTCCTTCCATAGGCAGGACTTCTGAACTGTGGGGGTGCTATAGCTAAATGTGATGTTAGGAGGTGGGGCCTGGTCTGAAGAATTGGATCCTTTGGTGTCTTAATTACTTTTCTCATTGCTGAGATAAAATACCCAGAGTTAAAGGAGGAAAGGGTTATTTAACTCACAGTTTGTAGAGGTTTCAGTCCATTATCAGCCGGTTTCAAGGCAGGGTGCCATGGCAGACAGGCACCACAGAGGAAAAAACAGTTCATGGCAGGCAGAAGGTAACCAAGCAGCAAGGGACACCCTCAGCCCTTTCTATTTTTTTTTTGTTTGTTTGTTTTTTGTTTTTTGAGACAGGGTCTCTCTATGTAGTTCAGACTGCTCTGGAACTCACTGTGTAGCCCAGGCTGGTCTCGAACTCGCAGTGATCCTCCTGCCTCAGCCTCCTGAGTGCTGGGATTACAGGTGTGCACCATCACGCCTGGCACCTCCCTTTCTATTTCTGATACTTTATCCAGGGGTACTTAGGTGGGGAGAACTCATACCCTTAATCCTAGTGCATTGATCCATGAATCAATTCCAGTGTCACACACTGTAGATCCAGCCAGCCCTGAAAAGCCTCACCTATGATCACATGAAGCTTTGGGGAGAACATCTAGACATGAACCATTGCACTTAGGGTGTGACCTGGTAAGGTATATCTCCTTCCCCAGTTCCTCCCTTTGATCCCTGATTCCTGGCTGCCATTATGTGAGCAGCTTCCCTCCTGCCATGACGCTCTGCTATACTGCTTCGTCTTGGTAGCCAGATGACTGTGGACTGAAATGTGAGCAAAATAAACCTCTCCTCCTTTGAGTTGTGAGTGTCAGGTATTTTGTACTAATGATAAGGAAAATGACTAAGGCAGGTTCCCATCCTAAACTCCTGAACTGTCTTAAACATTCTGATGTAGGCAGGGACTTTTCTTGTATGTTGAGGTTTTAAAAAATATTCACCAAGGAAAAGGAAAGAATTAGGGCTGTAAAACAGAAATTAGCCCTAGAGACACATGATACTGAGGTCCTGTGGTGTTTCATGGGAATTTAAGTGTGTTGAGACAGTGGCATTTCACTGTGGTCACCTCAAGTCAAGTTCCGTCCAGAGTATGCAAGTGTATATCTTTGCCTAAATTCAGACTGTGATATTGTACTTCACATATACACCACACCTATTTTCTTTCCCCTCCAGGATTCAGACTATGAAGAAACATACTGATGAAAGTCTGCATGGTAGAAGAGTTACCTGATAACAGAAAATATCCCATTCCACTGGCTGCTAAAGCCTCAGGGAATGGAACTGGCCCGGATAATGCTGATGGAAGATTCTGGAGGTCCTCTGTAAAGACCTTAGGAACCATTTATTTATTGAAGAAGTGTTCTTTTTATATTTATAAACTGTTTAGAAACTCTGAGAAGAGACTAATGACTTCCCCTTTTGTTATGCTCTAATTGAATGAAGACATTCTTCTCCTGAACAGAAAGATAAGTTTTGGTTTACCTTCACCCTTGAATGTATTGCATGTTTTCATCCAGTAATTGAAGGAGAATCCTAAATGTTTGCCACACTGCTGGTGCCAAAATAATATTTTTTATTTTTAACAAAGTGGAACTTGACACTTCCTAATGATGTGCTATCAGATAAAATGTTTATTTGGGATAGATGCCCTTTGCTTTTTGCTTCATGAAGATTTTCAGCTGTGATTTAGTCTACAGTATACATAAATACTTGGTTTAATGATCTCATCATCAGTTGTATTTGGGTGACTTGGAGTTCATCACTCTAATTTCCTTAAAATTGGTAGGATCAGGCATCATTGGTTTGCTTTGATTATTATTATTATTTTTTTCTTTTTTGGTACCAGGGATCAAACTCAGGATCTTGCACTTGAGAGGCGGCCACTGAGCCAAATACCTGGCCCTTGATTAGATTTTTAAAGTATTAAATAAAGTGTCATTATTTTACAATTAAGGAAGAGAATGGTGAGTCACAGAAATTCTTTTCCTTTCTCTGGCTAGGTGCAATTTGAGTCAGACTCTTAGTTATTTTACTTTCCTATAGCTGACTAATTTGTGGTATGGTTCTTGATTTGTTTGTTTGTTTTTTGAGACAGGGTGTTGCTATGTAGTCTAGGCTGGCCTTGAACTTGCTGCTATCCTCCTGCTTCAGCCTCCTGAGTGCTGGGATTATCCTTCTTCATTTTTCAGAGGGAAGAAAAATTTTTCAAAAGGTTTTTAATTGAGGATTTATTAAACATTTTGGTAGTTCTTTATCAAATCTGTAATATTTCAAAAACTTGATTTCTTTTTTCTTTTTTTTTGAGACAGGGTCTCACTGTGTAGTTGAGACTAACCTGGAACTCACTTTGTAGCCCAGGCTGGTCTCGAACTCACAGCAATCCTCCTGCCTCAGCCTCCCGAGTGCTGGGATTACAGGCGTGCACCACCACGCCTCACCAAAAACTTTTGATTTCTAAAAGCCACCATTTATAAATTAACTACGGTATTTGCAAACTGCTTTTGCATAATATTGGGGATGAAGAAATGAGGTTGTATATAACCTATATGTCTGCCTTCTCTCAGTATCTCATAACATATTTCTCCATCCTTCTCCATCAACCTATTTCAAATTTTAATTTAAACAGGATTCTTTATAAGCTATTAAGACATCTGATATGTCAGGAAGGATTGACAGGGTATATATAAATAGTCCTCTAAATAGAGTAACAAAATTCTTTTCTCTATTATGAGAGGCAAAAATTATCCCTCCTCCCATTTTTCTTGTTTCAACAGGATAGCCTTTTCCATGGTTTTTCCCTAAGGGGCTCAAAGACTTTGATATTATAGCATTTTATACCATATATATTATAAAATCACTTTTGTATTTTCTGTGAAGGTCATTCATCTTGTCTCATAGATTTGGCCTGACCTTTTGTCCAAGGATTAGAGACTCTGGATAGTTTTTAGACATTGTGGTCACATAAGGTCATTGAAAAGGCCAGCAGGTAGGATTGCCAATTTACATTTCTTGTGGTTAAACTTAACAGTTCTTTGGGCCACTTGTTAGCTATGTGGTTGTCTGCAACTGATCTAATGAGAATATTTCTGACAACTTATCAGAGAAAATAAAACTGAGCAACGAGAGTAAATAATTTGGATTCTTGGAGATTTGAAGACAAAGATGTACTTGTGAGGGGGACCTTTTTGATTTCATTTCTGAGACAGAAGAGGGGGGCTGATATTACAGAAACCCATTTAGAGCCATATCCCATTAATTGAGCCAGTTTGGCTAGGTCTTGTAATTTCCTTGTAGGCATGTTGTGAGAATTAATCCAGCTTGAGTGTTGGTCACTTTAGTTAAATGGTGCTCTGTGAATATGCAGGCACAATATTTCATAGCCTTAACCATGATTTGAACCAATTCTTCCTTTTTTTAAAGGACAGAACAACAGGTCCTCCATGGCAAGGGAGTCATTTGGTATTGTAGTCTACTCCGTGGGTCTGTGTCCCATCCCTGGATTTTGTTTTTCACCCCTTATATTGAGGTTTAGATTTCAGCTTTTTTTTCTCCAAAGGAAAACAAAGTGGTAGATAGACCCCTACCTTCTTCAAGGATGGAAGGAAAATAAAGTAGTTTTTGTTTGTTTGATCTAACATTTTAATATTTTCTAAGGTGCTACTCTCTCTTTTTCCTTTTGTGCTCCCAGTGCTCTTGTCTCACCATATGGAGATCAGAAGGGGTTAAAAGCCCTTCAGAATTTTTCTTTGAGGCTCAAGTCTTGTGGTCGTGATACGTTGTGAGTTTTATGCATTTGACTCCTAATTCTGTTACAAAATATGAACTTCTGAAGAGCTTTGTGAACTTCTAAAGAGCCTGTTGCTTCAGGCCAGTTGGGGAGCAGTTTTCTAAGATGGGCATTGGTGCTTCATGAGGAAAGGTTGTATGTGCTTATTTTGTAAAAGAATTCTGGAGGCCAAATCCTGACCCTAAATGTGCCGCTCAGTTATGGTTTTAAAGGGGAGCTTTCAAAAGACCCACAGGAGTGAGCCAAGACTGTTACTTACCTTACTCAAACTTTGTTGCCCAAAGAGGCAGCCCCATTCCTTTACTCCAATGTTGCACTGTTAATGCTGCATTTCATTGCCTTTTTGGGGGAGGGGTAGGAGAGTTTGCACTGTTAGATATGTGTACAGATGCTGTATATCTTGGTATTTTTACTCCATCATAGTTAATAAACTTCTTTCCACCTTCTGGTTACCTTTTGGTTGTATCTATGTATAAGATGAAAGCTGTCCTGGGAAAGAGAGAGGGGTGTGTGGTTTTCAGCATTGAGCAAGAAGCCTGTATAAGCTGTGCCCCAGCAAGAACCTTCAAAGACAGTGGTACACTGAAGCCAGCTCGCACAGCAAGACCTATTACATTTTCAGAAATGTTGTGAGCTGGTTGTTAATCTGCTGGTGGTTGAAATAGGCCAAGGTGGGAATATTTATACTAGTGGAATGCCTATTAGCATACCACCTCTCAAGGATTGTGCAGGGTAGAGAATGATTATTCAACAGCTTTGCATGTGACACAGAAACAAATTTCATGAAATGAGGCCTAGGTCCCAGGCCTAGGTCAAGCCCATGTAGATTAGGTTGAAGGCTTGCACATGAAGAACACTTGTTTTTTTTTTTTTTTTTTTTTTTTT